AAGGTCCAGATGAATCAACTGTTATAGACTTGTAAAAATCTGTTAAAAGTTAAATGAAAGTTAATCTGATTAGCCATGCTGGCTTTGAGAGAAATAGGGCATTCTAGTATGCAGGGAATAAAGAAGGAAAATTGATTGTATAAAGTTATCATTAAGCCAGGGGTATAGCTCTGCAGCACAAGCGCCTGCCTGGCAAGAGCAAGGTCCTGAGTTCTACTCCTGGTACAAAGAAAAAATAGTTATTAACATTGCATTTAGAAAAACTCCAAATATTGGGCCAGGGATGTAGCTCAGTGGCATAAGCGCTTGCCTGGCAAGCCTGAAGTCATGAGTTCGATTCCTGGTACCAAAAAAAAAAAAAGAAAAGAAAAATCCAAATAAAGTGGTTAAAATGCACAACATTGTGATAGCATAAACTTACCTCTTAATGTAAAGAATAGCTCATACAACTGCAAATGAAACAGGAAAGATTCAATATATAACAGGTGAATATTTGGACAATTAACCGAAGAAGAAATAATACTAGTTAATAGTTACAAAGGAAGTATCTAAGCTCTACTAATCAAATGAATTCAGATTTTTAAAAAGTGAGACCATTCTTTTCTTTCCTAACTAGTTAGAGTAGTTCAAAAGGCATAACAGTATACTGGTAAGTAAACTGGCTATTCTGACACAATGGGAGAGAAATGAGTAAGATTTTTCACTATTATTCATAATTCCCTTAACACAATGCAGATGTTTCCCCGTAATCCCAGCACTAGGGAGGCTGAGGCAGGAGGATCGTTGCAAGTTCGAGACCAGCCTGGGCTACAAAGTGAGCTCAAAGCCAGCCTGAACTGCATAGCGAGACCCTGTCTCAAAAAGACAAAAACAAACAAACAAACAAACAAACAATTCAGATGTTTCAGCAAAAAGACTCTACCTGGGGAAATTCATTCTAAGGAAATAACACTAAAATTTACATATAGCTATTAATGGTACCATTAATGATAAAATAAAAAATTTGTAAATAACTTGGTCATTCAATAGTAGGGTACACCTACTCTATGTAATATTATTTGGTTATTTTAATGTGACGTTTAAAATGACAATAACATAGAAAGGCCTTATCAGCTCTTAAAACATACAAATAGTAAAATATTTCTAGCTTGATTGGTAACTACGGAAATGGTGAGATATCTACAAGATTGGCTAAAATTGAGTGGATTTATAATACCAGTGGTGACAGGGATGTGGCACAAGCAGAACCCTCGCACACGGCTCACCAGAGGCCAAACTGCTACACCTGTCTGTCTGAGAGCATGTAGTAAGGTGAAGACACCCACACACAGTGACCCAGCCATTGTGTCCACAAGTATGGAACCCGGAGAAACCATTGCACCTAAACTCTGGGGTCCAAGAGCACACGAGAATTCTGGTGACAGTAGCATTGGGAATCACCTGAAAGTGGAAATGTCCATCCCAGCAGAATGGGTAAACTGTGAATTATTGTGCTAAGAGACAGAACTCCATAAAATGAACAAATGAATGTTAAACAGCACAACATAATTGTTTTCACCAACATAATGTTGTGAATGGAAGAAGAAAATTGTAAGAGTATGTGTTCATTTCCAGTACTGGCAGGCTAGGCAGGAGGGTCACAAGTTTGAGCACAGCTTAGCAGCTTGAGTAACCTAGTGACTTAGTGAGAACTTGCCCCAAATAAAAAGGGGCCAGGGATGAAACTTAGTGTGAAGGCTCTGGGTTCAATATCAATGCTGCAGGGGAAAAAATGTGTGTGTGTGTATGTGTGCATGTGTGTTTTCACAATTCTATTCAAAATAAGTGAAAACAAACTGTCTAGAGTTATACACAAATGTGCCAAAAGTAAAAAGAAATGCAAAGAAGACCTGATTATCTGAGTAGACCTGATTCTCTGATAAGAGTTACCTCTGGCAGGATGGAGTTGGGATGGGGGAGATAGAAGGTAAACAGAGGGCTTCTCTGGGTCAAGAAGTATTTGATTTTTTGACTTGCAAAATGATTACATGGCAGCTCTGCAATAACCTAAAAACTACACATGTGTATTTTTACATTCTATGTAATGCATGTTATGTGTTGTAAGTTGAATTGTGCCTATCCTTAAAAAACAACTTTTGAAGTCCTAATCCCTGCTGTTGGCATGTCTCAACATGTAAATTTGTTTGGAAACAAGACTGTTGCAGATAAAATTCCTGAAGTTAAGATGCAGTCATATTAGAATAAGGTGGATTCCTCCTGCAGTATGACCGGTGTCATTAGAGAAAAGATGGTCACATGAGAACCAGAGACAATGCCACAGGAAGAGGAAGGCAGAGGTTAGAGTGACACACTCACAAGTCAAGTGACACCTCAGATGACCGCCACCACCTGGGACTGAAAGAGGCTGAGGCAGAATTTGTTCTCGGCCCTCAGGAAGAACAAACCCTGGCAACACTTCGTTTTCAGACTTCTGGTCTCCAGAGTTGTAGGGGAATAAATTTCCATTGCTTTAAGTTGCCCAATAAGGGACACTATTATGGCGTCGGTTGGCAATGGATACATTGTACTTTCACTTTAAAAATATTTGCAAAATTTCCCAAGAATTTAAGTTGCTGGCCTAATTTCTTGAATAAATCACAAAATCTAAAATCAAAAGATTGTCCAAGCATCCCACTTTGTAGTATATGGCCTGAAATAGTTACTCTCAAAGGCACAACTCAAACATAAAAAGGAGCTCCTCTTCAGAAAAGGCAACTATGCTGTATAACTCATGGCACCAAGAGGTTAAGGATCAACTGTAAATGTCCAAGTCCATTAAAAAAATAATGTGGTTTTGTTCCAAGTTGGCCTGTAAAAATTTCACCCTGGCCCTTTGATGCTCTTCCTTACTGGAAATTCTCCAGCGTCTGAAGGGACCCTGCGCACGGCTTCTGGGAAGATGTTCTTACTCTTCCACTGCACTCCCTGGCAAAGACCTGACCTGAGAGGAGACCTCGCCCGGAACTTTCCCAGGCAGAATACTGATGAATGTAGAGGCTCAGTAAAAGACAGGCTTTGGTTACAGCTCTGCTTTCTGCAGGTCAGGAGTAGCAGCAGCCTCAGAGCCAGTGGAGCAGAATGTTCTTGCAAATCTCACCGGAAGTTGGTTTTGCACAGGATCCTGAGCATGCTTATGGCAACACTACATTTTTCGAGTATGTTTCATAGGAGCAGAGGAATGCCACAAATAAGGGTATAAAGGAGCAATCGATGAAGAATACATTTTCCTTAAACTTATAAAATTCAACATTATTTCTCTTTCTAGCTTTCATATAATAAATGTATTATATGAAATAAATATGAGTATTTATTTATATTTATGTGAATTTATGTGAATAAATTTCAAATAAATGTATAGGAAATTTTCTTGCAAAAGATCCTCCTGCCTCAGCCTCCCAAAGGCTGGGATTATAGGTGTGTAATCCCCTCACTAAAGTGAGGTAGAATATCACAGTAATAAAGGATTTTGAAGCCAAGCTGTCTGCTTTCGAATCTTGGTTCTACGGCTGCTTACTAGCTTAGTGTACCTTGCGAAAATTGTTTCCTAAGTACAAATTGCTTTGTCTGTAAAATTAAGATAAAACTGTACATACTGCAAAGTTGCTGGAAAGATTCAATGAGGCCATATAATGAAAATAATTTAGCTCAGAATGTTGCACATGGTTAAGTGCTAAATAAATATAATTATTGGAATAATAATAATAATAATAATCTTTTGAGAATTATATTTGGTGTGGCTATAAAAATTTCTAGTAGAATTGAATATAAAGTCACCCCTACGGGTTATTTGGTTCAACTCAGGAAATTAAGCAGAGAGGGAAAATTTCAGCTTCTTGAGTGGATCATTCTAAATTCAAAATTCTTCATCAGAAGAATAAAATTCACTTTAGGTTCCTGGTCGGTTAAATGAGTGGGTTGGGTTAAATAATTTCTAAGGTACTGTTCTGGCACAACACCCTTTGTCAACGCTAAGTCAAACACATCACAGTTTGTGAATTATTTTCTTCCTTTCAATGAGTATTTCTATTATATTAGCTCCCATCTTTTTACATAAAATATGACCATTAAGCTAGTTGGTATGCACATGAGTGTGTGTGTGTGTGTGTGTGTGTTTGTGTGTGCACTTGTGTGTTTGTTGTATTCCAAAGAAGCTTCACAGACTCAGCCCTAGCTTCTGTGATTTTGGTCAACGACCCAGGCACTTTCCATGGCGCTAAGGTTTGCCTGCACCAAACTTTAGGTTCACTTGCTTTGAGAGGGAAGAAAAACACTGTTTGGGAAACACTCAAAACCTTTGATTTTTTTTAAAGCCACTTGTATGAGCCTCAAGGTTTCCGGTATAAGTAACCTTTACTTTAATGGTGTTTGATATCTTACTGATAAAAGCTTTTTAGTTCTAGAAGTCACTTGGTATTTCCA